TGATACCAAAGACAGGGAATACACAACTTCGGAGTTCGTTACCCTACAATTTCCAGTGAGATATGTGCAGAGGACTTGTCTGTCCTTATTGCCAAATGGCATTTGAGACTATCTACAGTTCTTTTTTTAAATAACCTCATTGAGGAATAATTTAAATATCATAATATTCATCGATTTAACTGTACAATTCAAGTGTAAAGGTTTTTTAGTAAAATTTTAGTAAATTCATTTAGTTGTGCAACAAATCAACACAATCCTGATTTAGGACATTAACATTATCCCTATAGAATTACTGTTTACCTTGAATTTCTGTTTCTACCCTCAGCCCAGACAACCCCTAATCTCCTTTGTGTCCCTGTAGATTTGCTTTTTCATATCAGTAAAATTAGAATATGTGATTTTTGTGTGTCTGGCTTCTTTCACTTAGCACAGTGTTCTTGAGGTTTATTCATATTGCAACACGTATTCAGTTTTCATTTCTTTGTTGCTAAATAATAGTTCATTGCATGTATACACCATACTTTTATCCATTCCCTAGTTGATGGGCATTTACATTATTTCCACTTTGGGTCTCATGTCTAAATCTGCTACAAACGTCTGCCTAAAAGGCTTTATGTGAGCATATGCTTTCCTGTCTCTTGTATAGATATTCAGAAGTAGAATTCTTGAGTCATATGGATACCTATGTTTAACTTTTTAAGAAACTGCCAAATTGTTCTCAAAAATGACTGGGCACAGTGGCACTTTAATCCAAATTACTTGGGAAGCTGAGACAGGAGAATCATGACTTTACAGCCTCCCTCAGCAGTGTATGATAATTCCAGTTTCTCCAAATCCTCGTCAACACATGTTATTGCCTCTCTTTTTGATTACAGCTATCCTGGTAGAGTGAAGTAGCATCTCAGTGTGGTTTTAATTACATTTCCCTAATGAATGATAGTATTAAACTTCTTCTTGTGTGTTTATTTTGTATTTCTACTTCTCTCTATGAGATAACTTCTGTAGCTGTAACCTTGACTTCCTGAATTCCGTCCAGAAATTTCTTGTTAGAGTGATGCTGTGATGGAAATGCATAAAAGGACACAGAGTACACTTTTCTTAAGGGTCACTAAGTACTCCTAAAACTTCGCTAAAGAGAAGTCCTTCTCCGTTAGAATTACTGTATGGGAAAACTCATAATATAATAATATTTGGTAGAAAAGCAGGCTCATTGTAAAAATTTTGGATGTTTATTTTTCTTTAGAGTTTCTTTTTCCTACTTTTTCATTAAGCTAAGGACAAGATTAAACTGCCTATAGGCTTGTTTGCTTTCTAAGCACAATAAAAAAAAGGCAAGGAAAGAAAGCAGAGCAAGACAGAATTCTTCAAGAAAACCATACTGAAGGGAAATAACAGTCACATCAGGTTAGAAAAACAAAATCCATGGAATCAAGCTTTACTTGAGTAACAATGCTGATGGAAATAGCATACAAGAGTCTTAGTTCAGGGCCTATTTGAAATGGATGATAGAATTTTTCAAATTACAAGCCCACTAACAGATATAATTAGGTTATTATGCTAACATGATAAATCATTACTGAATATCTCCCTAAATTAGATTGACCTCAGTCTGTAAGGATCATAACTTTCAACAAAGTCTCGTTTTGCTTGCAAAAAAAAAATCATACAAGGTGCTTAGATGGACATCATAAAGGTATTTCAGAGGACCCCTCTCCAGACCACAAATTGGTTGTGGGAACTAGGCACCTTGGCTCACACCCTGAAGCTAGGAATTTGGGCAAAAAAGCAAAAGCAAGACCTGTCTCTACAAAAACAAACAAACAAAAAATTAAAACAGAGGGTGTGGTGGCATACACCTGTACTCCCAACTACTCAGGAGGCTGAGGCAAGAGGATCCCTTGAATCCAAGTTGAGCCTGCAGTGAGCTATGATTGCACCACTGCACTCTAGCCTGGGCAATAGAGCAAGATCCTGTTTCTAAAGTTAAAAATATATATAACAACAACAAAAAAAGTAGGTTGTGCTGTAGGATCACAGAGACTTTGTGCTGGTTAAACTACTTTACTGACTTTCATGAATTAGTTTCCACAACAAATGTAGAGTCCACTACTTTGAGAGTTTCACATGCCATTGTCTGGGTCCCTATTTTGATCTTTGGTCAAAAGTGACCAAGGAGACATCTTTACACCATTTTCTCTTTCTATTGTTTTCTCAGCTGACAATTTTTCCCTCCTTTGTTGATTGGGTAAGGAATATCTGAGTGTTATTACTACTAGCTATACGGCAACCTCTTATGAACTTCTATATATCATTGAAAACGTTGAATTTGGGCTGAGGCAGGGGAATCGCTTGAACCTGGGAGGCAGAGCTTACTGCACTTTAGCCTGGGCAACAGAGGGAGACTTCGCCTCAAAAAAAAAAGCAAGAAAGAAAGAAAAAGAAAAAAGAAAAAAAAATTGGTTGATTTGGATCATGAGGTGGTTCTAGATTTCTTTTTGGCTTAGTATGGTACGTTGATAGATTCAGGGTAAATGTGAATAAAACATTACAGATAGCTTTAAGTTTATGTCTTACAAATAGCCTTAACATTTCAGGCTAGCTAAGTACATGTTAAAAAGGTACTTTTCACCTCACCTATAGTGAGAATTAAAAGAAAAATTCTTTTAATTTACATAGTGGTGTTTTGATTCTATTCTGTTTTGTTTTTTTCCCCTTTTTAAAGTAAAAAGTCCAAGGAGGGGATCCAGATAGTGTGAATTTGAATCCAGACTAACACTGGTAAACTTGGTATAGATAAATTCCCTTATTCTCATTCTTCTCATCAGTAAAATGGGAATAATGTACATCATCTCACTTAAATGGCTTTTCTTAATGAATCATGATATTTTCAGTATCATTCACTAATAATGCCAAAATTTTGATAAAATGTGACTTATAAATTTCTGTCATCCCTGATGTTAATCAGTTTTTATTGAAACTAAGTTATGCCTGATTTTAGTATAAAAATTTTTTAAGCTCAAAATCGACTAAAAGTCTATATTTATGTTTACAAACATTTAAAAATTATATTTCCAAATTGTGACAGTATGTAGATATGTGAGTTCCTATAAGGTTATACACATCGCAATTTGGGCAATGAAATTACATAGTAACTGGAACAGCTCTCTCCTAGCACTAGTGTCATAAGAAGGTAGTGCATTGTCACTTATCATAAATAAACCAACATTATTAGCCAGGAGTGCTGGCTCACACATGTAATCCCAGCACTTTGGGAGGCTGAGGCAGGCAGATCACCTGAGGTCAGGAGTTTGAGACCAGCCTGGTCAACATGGTGAAACCCCATCTCTACTAAAAATACAAAAATTAGCCAGGCATCATGGTGGATGTACTGTGGAAGACACAACATCATTTCTAGTAGGTTATTTATTGTTCCTTTAAGAAGCACTAAATATCACACTTAATATCAAAGGCTTTGTTTCCACTTTGACATGACTTTAATTCATAGAATTTCTAATGAAAGATGGTGGGTTTGTAAAAAAGTCCACTGAGATATTTCAGGCCTAGTCATTAGGAGCTCCAGTGTCAATAAGAATCACAGTGCTTTTCTGCATTATCTTAATTCTGATTTGATACATAATTATTTTTTTAAACCCCTTTATTTGGAAAACAATGAATAACTAAGGCAGTATATAATGCATTTATTTGAGGCCCACTGGCCAAGTTCTGTCATTCCTTTCTGGGTTTCTAAGGGTCCTGACACATAGAAATATATGAGGAAGCATATATTCACTGACACTCAAGAAGGTCAGAGGTATAAGTAACTGCTCCACATATCATAGCATTTTCAAGACAGGCCTCCAGGTTGGTTCATCTCCATTCCCTGCACTATTCACCAAGAGACATGAATGGCAAATCTTTAAATTATCGAACTGTCCCTCTCATTCTCCTGTCATCCAAAATCAGGGTGGGTTTTTTTGTGATTAGTTCTATGTGCAATTTCAAAATGGTTATTTATATTCAAACTGAACCATATAAAAAATCATCTGAAAGGGTACATTTGAGGAATGACATCAGACTGCTGTGTGCCTCCCACCCAAATGAGGGATCCCTCAGCCGCAGGAGCAAGAAAAGAGGGCAAAGGGGCACTGATTTCCCATGAGGGTGAAATCAGTGCTGCACAGCCCCAAAACACACCACTGCACATAACTCACCTTAAGCCCATCTCCAGGAACACCTCCTGGGTTTCTGTGCTCCATTCTAGGGTCAGTACTTTGCAACTAGCCTTGTCTTTCATCATTTAGGGTGGATACAGGATAGACTTGGGAAACCTGAAATAGGACAAATGTAAAAAGAAGAACAAACTCAGGAGGAAGACCAACTGGGCTCGAATGTCAGCCCCACTCTTCATTGTAGATGGAAATAGACACTTATTGAACACCTGTTCTGTGTTGGAAACTTCACATAAACTATTCCACTTGTTAAACTAAACAAGACGAGATAAAGGAATAAAAGGTGTCCCTTATTTAGCTGACGTACCACAGGGAAGAAAGCCTCTGAAGGAATTGCTTCAAAGCAATGAAAGAAACAAAGGGTTGTTTTAAAATAGGGTTTTGTTGCACGGATTATTCAAGCGATCGGGTTGACTTTGTTGAGCTTCTGATTCTGTGGCAGCAGCAAACTCTGCATGTGTGCTTGGTGTTCAGCATGGGCTGTGGTCTGCTCTCAATCTAAAATAGTATGCAGCATAATGGTTGTGAATCTCTGGAATTCAGGGTGTCACTTCTGTTTTCCAGAAGGCAAAAATGCCAGAGGTGCTTCTGAGCAATGTGCTATGAGACCACCTACGGAGGAGAGAGAACAACTGTTTAACTGTGGCTTTATTTAGTAAACTTCCAAACAATTACTGAAATGCCATCCTTAGACAACTTAAGCAATTAGCAGAAAAGTCATATTTCTAACTCAGCCTCCTCATTCTTTTTCTGTCTTTCCCTGTGATCCAGGAGGAAGGATGCTGGTTTCTTAACATACAAAGATCACCTGCCAGTGAGCCAAGTGGTGGTTGGAGATACCGACCGGCAAGGCTCAGAAGCCAAATTGAGTGTGGGTCCACTGCGCTGCCAAGGAGACAGTAAGTTTGCATGGCAGCTGTGGCTTGCACTTTCTTATCATTTAAATATTTCCAGCTCCTCAGAAGATACCAGCAATGAGACTTGCTCTTCTGTGGCTCCTATAGAAACATCACACAACCCAAGCAGAGCTAACTTAGAGGAGGGGAACAGCCATAAAGCCTCCAGTATAGAAGCCAAGATTTGGGCATAAAATGGGGATATCTATCTTTCCTCTATATTCATATATAACAAGTTTGACTACCTAAGTTTATGGTGATATAAATAGCAATGCTAATAGCATAAATGCAGTACTCAACAGCTGTGATTCCACTGAGTGCTGCTGCTAATGCCATTAGGATGACTATTTATATCACCATAAACCCGGTTTATGGTGATATAAATAGTAGCATTATGGCTTAATGTATCATTGTAAACTTGGATTATGGCCATATAAAGTTTGACATTATTGCTATCAAACTTCATCATCATCAGAGCTTGAGGGTCCCTTGTAAGCCAAAGATTGTTTCTGTAACTACGCCTTGCTTTCAGGATTAGTCATCCCGGAGAGGAATTTGGGGCTGCTAGCTTGGATAGTGGGAGGTAAGGGAGTTGGAGTGATGGTCCCTCCTCATTAAGGGCACCATTAGGATTTTATGTTGCTTGATTACCCTTCAGTGTGCTTTATGTGCAGTCAGAGGGAAACGGTGACATGGTTGCACAATGGGGATTCTGCAGTGAGCCTCCTAGGCGTCATTTTCCCTCTTGTTTTGGGGACACATGATATGGGCAACTCTCCTGAGAGCTCTTTGCTTTTGTGATTGTGTGCTAGGCATTGGAGATCTAGATTCTGCTCCCCAAATAGCTGACTTGCCTGGAGATCTCAGGCAAACCCCTCCATTTTCTTTGCTGTGGTAATAAGAATACCACCTGCATCCCAATTCCTCCTGGGGAGGCTGTAAATATTTTAGTGCCTGGATTTGGAATCCTCCAAGCAAAGCATTATGTGAGAGGGAATATTATTACCACTTTGTAAATCAAGAGAGAATTAGACCTACTTGATAATAGATTATGGCATCCTCTCAAAGAGGTGTCCTAAGGAACGTAATGATGCATGCTTAACAGTTTCCTACTTAGTAAATCGAGGTCGTCAGCAATTAACCAATGCCATGTTCCTATTACAAAAGGGAGATGGACTTTGTGCTGAGTTTTCTCTACTTACATGGAAAATGCTACCTGTAAAATCGAGATTGGTCAAGATCTTTATCACACATTTATTGAACAATGATACTTCATTCATCTAGTCAGGCTTAGTAAAACTGTGCAGGAAGAAATTTAATTTCAACTGCCGAAGAAAAGGATACTGACTTAAGGTAATAGTATATATGCATTTTAAACAGATATTATAAGAAATGAAATATAATGTTGCTCTAAAATTAAGAAGACTCTCGTGTGTGGTCTAATGAAACTCATTTTTGTTATGGAATTGACATAGGAAGGTAAAATACTTCTGGCTTATCAATTCTAATTCTAGCTCTGAATTTGAGAAAGTATTCTCATTAAATAATTAATAATATATTTGTAAAAATTCTACTTCTGCAAACTTTTTTTTGTTGTTTCTTTTGTTTTGTTTTTTTTTTTTTTTGAGATGTAGTCTTACTCTAGTGCCCAGGCTGGAGTACAGCAGTGCGATCTTGGCTCACTGCAACCTCCACATCTCGGGTTCAAAAGATACTCCAGCCTCAGCCTCCCAAGTAGCTGGGATTACAGGCACATGCCACCATGCCCTGCTAATTTTTATATTTTTAGTAGAGATGGGGTTTCACCACGTTGGTGAGGCTGGTCTCGATCTCCTAACCTCAGGTGATCCACCTGCCTCGGCCTCCCAAAGTGCTGGGATTACAGGCATGAGCCACTGTGCTCAGCCTTCTACAAACTTTTATTATCATTCTTAAAAAGAAGATTCCAGGAACATTAAATAGTATATGCTACAGCATATAAGCAGTTTATAACTAACATTAGCTTATTTGCTCTTAATCAATAAAACAACCTCAGAAAGAATTTATTGTGAGGCTGTCATTCATCCAGCACATTCCTAGGTACTCTAGAAAATAAGAAAAAGAAACTCAAACCATGTTATGTGAAATGAACATGAAAAAATATTGGAAAATACAAATTTGTTTATAATTTAGGTTTGTGATATACAATTATTGCAACTCATGAGAAAGGAGCCATAGAAGGTATATATCAGGCAGACTTTATTTTTAAAAAGAGAAAAAAGGGGCCGGGCGCGGTGGCTCACGCCTGTAATCCCAGCACTTTGGGAGGCCGAGGCGGGTGGATCACGAGGTCAAGAGATCGAGACCATCCTGGTCAACATGGTGAAACCCCGTCTCTACTTAAATACAAAAAATTAGCTGGGCATGGTGGCGCGTGCCTGTAGTCCCAGCTACTCGGGTTGTTCTGAGATGGAGCCTTGCTCTGTCACCAGGCTGGAGTGCAGCAGTGCAATCTCAACTCACTGCAGCCTCCACCTACCGAGTTCAAGCAATTCTCCTGCCTCAGCCCCCCGAGTAACTGGGACTACAGGCACTCACCACCAAGCCCAGCTAATTTTTGTATTTTTAGTAGAAATGGGGTTTCACCATATTGGTGAGGCTGGTCTTGAGCTCCTGACATTGTGATCTGCCCGCCTTGGCCTCCCAAAGTGCTAGGATTACAGGTGTGAGCCACATGCCCAGCCCTAGAGAGAGTCTTTTAAATAATATTTTACCAGATATTTCATGAAAGCAAAAGCAGTCAACAGTTAATGGCAATTATGCGGAATACATTTGTGTCTGTGTATGAGAAAGAAATCTCATTGTTTTTCAGGCAACCGAGAATAAGTATTCCACCTTGTACTTGAATTGCCCAGTAGCAGTCAGTAGTTGTGAAGCCCACATTCTCTTTGAGAATGTTCTCACATGGGCACAGTAATGATAGGGCATTCCATATCAATCACATTTTCCAGTTCTTATACATGTATGATCTCCTTGGATACACACAGCCTCCTGTGAATTAGTTAGGGCAAATATTAGTCTTTCTGTTTTATAAAAAAGTAAAATACTTCTTTAAAAATGGCATTTACACAACAAGTTTCTGAGCATACTTTCAGCCTCTGAGACGCTTGAGGACAAAAGATGGAATGGAGACTAGAAATAGGTGCGTCTGTTCAATGTCAGGGTTGTTTTCCTGACTGTACTCTCTTCCCTGAGCCAATTGTTGATTAAATTAAAATGTTTTAAAAGTATCTTATTTGGGTCTTATCCCACCACCTGCCCCAGCCATCCATGTAGGTTACCAACATAGTATAAACATTGCAGGGATTAAATTTGTGTAATTTTAAAAGTGGCATAGTGCATTTGTCCTGCTGCTGATAGAGATTAACCTACTTTGTGTCATTTACTGAAGTCTGTTCAACGCTACAGCATATAAAGACTAACCCTATTGTTGAAAAGTATCTCTCAGTTTGAGGACTTGATGATGACAGCCCCCAGAAGCTGCCTCTTGAATTAGGACCCAGTTTTACCCTCTCGTCTCAGAGAATGAAACCATTTTTATGGGCTCTGCCCAACCATTTCAGCAGTTTCGGTGGATTTCATCATGTCTGTTGAGTTTCATTTGTGCTTCAATTCATCTGAACTCATAGACCCATATAATCAAAATGCTAAAGAAAATCAGTGAGTTCCACTCAGGTCTGCTGCATTTCCTATATAGTGCTATGAAATGCTTATGTCCTTACAGTGGGGTGTGTGTGTGTGTGTGTGTGTGTGTGTGTGTGTGTGTGTTTCATTCTTTCCTTTTTGCAAAGCCTATCCAAATGGAAACTTCAAATCTAAATGACACTGAAAGTGTGACTGGTGATGGATGGTTAGCTAAAATAAAAAGTGCTGTGCTGTGAAAACACAGATCCCCCTCTTAAGCCACATGTACCCACCCAGAATGAAACAAAAGAGCCATTTAGAGGATCAAAAACCAGTGATAAAGTGGGTATTGTTTCAAATTTAAATACGTAGTCATCTTTGGAGATGGCTGCCAAACTTTCATCTTTCCATGAAATTAGTTAAAAATATAAGAGACTTACTTTTTTGGAAGTAGAAATCTTGTACTATATATGATGAATATAATCAATTGTAAGAATATAGTATTTGCTAGACAGTTGCTTTATTTTCAGCCGTATGATGTAAAACTTTACTATATTCCTCTAGGGAGATAGGGACTGTAAACAAATACTTTGGATCAAGTTTGTCAGAACCATAGGAAAGGTTTTTTTTTGTTTGTTTGTTTTGTTTTGTTTTGTTTTTTTTAAATGCAAGCGTTTTAATACATCTGGATAGAAACCATTCCGGAAAATGTCTTATTCAAGGGCTTATTCCAAGGCCATGCCAGAAACACTGACTGTGAGGCTGGCAGACAGAGCATTGGAGTCACACTGTAGGATTAAGATGCAAATTCAATTTCTCAGAGCTACAGAGGTGACCCAGAAAGACAAGGAAGGAAAGGCAAGGCAGTAACACATCAGTTCTGGAACCCTCAGAAGGCAGACAAAGCTGTGTGTAAAGAAATAAAGATACTGATGGAGATTCATCCAAGTAATGGTGCATATTTGTTCTTTGGGAAAGTTATTTTATGTGCCAGAGTAATAGAAAGGCCATGATCTCTTTTTTGAAAGAATTTTGCAAACCAGGATCAGAACCTACCATTCCCTTGCCAGGAAAGAAAAGGTGGACGGGCGCAGTGGCTCACAGCTGTAATCCCAGCACTTTGAGAGGCCGAGGCAGGCGGATCACTTGAGGTCAGGAGTTTGAGGAGAGCCTGGCCAACATGGTGAAACCCTGTCTCTACCAAAAATACAAAAATTAACCGGGTGTCCTGGTGGGCATCTGTAATCTCATCTACTTGGGAGGCTGAGGCAAGAGAATCGCTTGAACCTGGGAGGCAGAAGTTGCAGTGAGCCGAAGTCATGCCACCGCATTCTGGGCAA